TCTTAACTCAGCAAAGTGAAGAGTCAACCAACAGAACATGAGAAAATACTGTAAACTATGAAACTGATAAAGGATTAATACCCAGAATATATAAAGTACTTAAGAAACTCAAAACAGCAAAACAAAACAAACAATGAAGTTTAGGAATGGGCAAAGGATTTGAACAGGTATTTTGCAAAAGAGGAAATTCAAATGACCAAATAGACATATGAAAAAATGCTCAGGATCACTAGTCATCCAGGAAATGCAAATCAAAACCACAATGAAGTTTTACCTCACACTAATTAGAATGGCTCTCATACACAAATCAAAACACAATAAATGCTGGTGAGGATGTGGAAAAAGGTACCCTAACCTACTGTTGGTAGAAATATAAACTGGTGTAGCCATTGTGGAAAACAGTATAGAGATTCCCCAAAATCTTAATATATATGTTATTTTATATATATATATGTACATGTATTATATATATGTTATGTACCACATGACCCAGCATCCCATTCCTTGGAGTTAATCCAAACAAAATAAAATTAGTATATGAAAGTGTTATCTGTACTCCCATGTTTACTGCTGCTTAAGTCACAATAACTAAGACATGGAATCAACCCAGACGTCCATCAACTGATGACTGAATAAGGAAATTATGGTATATATACACTATGGAATACTACACAGTGCTTAAAAAATGAAATCCTGTCTTTCACAACAAAATGGATGCAACTGGAAACCATTATACGTAGTGAAATAAGCCAGTCCAAAAAGACAAATACCATATATTTTCCCTGATCTGCGGTAACTAATAGAATACCTAAATGGTAACTTATAGGAGTAAAATTGACATTCTGAGATTTGATGATTGTTTACAGCCCTTGTCTGGACTGTCCAGAACAGTGTTTTGTTTCTTCATACTATTTATTGAACTGTTTACTTAGTATTGGATTAATCTTGTAAGTACAAAGTAAACTGAAAATAAATTTCTAAACATTAAGAGTGGGAATAGGAGACAGAGGATGAAGAAGGGTGGGAGTATGGGCAGGAAGGATGATAGGGTAGGAAGTATCACTGTGTTCCTGAATCTGTATATATGAAATATATGAAATATGTATACCTTAAATAAAATTAAAAACAGAATGTTTTAATGAGCTGTGATGCCTTTAAAATTTACTGTATATGGGTGAAATGTTCATTTTTTATTCTATTTTTGTTTATAGCCATTGTCTATATTCCCACTTTTGCTTTTTTCTTTTTACTGGTTAAACTTCTTATTTAGTGAACCATCAAGCTTTTTCACTGTAATGCAATTTTAAAATGCTATTTCAAAAACTGAAAAAAAGAAAAAGAAAGGGAGAAGGAGAGAGGGTAGGAGGAGGAGCTGGAGGGAGTGAGGGAATATTATCATATTCTTAGAATTATACCTACAAATCACACTGAATCTGTTAAAAACTAAATTAAAAATTAAAATAAAAATGAATTGTTTATAGAAAATCCTGAAATATACCTAGAGCACAGTAACTATACAGGTTTTAAAAATCTGCCTACCCGTTTTCTGTTCCTACTACTCTGCTTCCTGTTTTTTCTGTGCTAGTGGTTTCAAAGTATAGGATGAAACTAAAGTGGAAATTGAAAGGAGGGAATAAGTAAAAACTACTAAATGGATTGAATAATCATTTACATCCTTGGTTTTTTAAAACAACTAATCCATTTAGTAATTTTTGAAATTAGAAATGTTGCAATTCTTTGTTCTTTGTTTTAGGTAGGCATATACTTCTTAAATCACCAGTAAATACAAGCCTTAGATTTTTTTGGATCATAAGGGGGACCTGTGAGAGATGGCTGGTGATGCTGAATGCCTTGTTTATCTATATTTGTATGGATAGAAGATTTTCCCTCCCTCTCCCCCAACCTCCTGTCTCACCGGCTGTCATTTTGCCTTTCAAAAAAAATAAATAAGTAAACTGGCTTTGTTTTATTTTTTAAGAAAGCTAGTAAAATCACGAGTGTAATTCCTCTCTCTTTTGTTCAAGTTAAGCATTATTTAAACTGCACTTTAAAGCTCTATGTTTGAAAAATCTAAATGTTAGTAAACACTATGAAGTCTCCATTTACAGAAATAAAAGGATAGAATCAGAAACAATGCTGAATGAAAGGGACAACAAATTTGAAACAAGGCTGATCAAACTGGTTGGCTTGATTATGCTTATTGTATATGGCTTAGCTCACCATTTTTTTTTGTTGGTTGTCTTTATACATTTAGTCAACTTTAGTTTGTAGCTCAGAACTCATGTTAGGATAAGATCGCTATAACATACTAGATATAAAAAAAATCAGTATTATGCTATTTCTAAATTTTCATATATATGCTTTTGCTGAAAAGTACAAATTTTGCATTTTGTAAGTAAAATATATAAGCCAATGGAAAGTATCAATATAATTACACATTAATTGTGTGCACACACATTTTATAATTCAAATATACAGACTTTATATAAAGGCCCAAGACTAAGCCTCAGTCCAATCACAAAACACATTTCATTCTGGTCTTCAGAATGTTTAATTTCTTCTTTCCAAAACAGTCTAGGCTCCTCCAGCTGAAATTTTTATCCAACAAAGATGCTATTTCCTACTTTATCCTAGTGCCATTACAAGGTAGCAGAGAAACTTAGGTAGCAAACTGGGTAATGAGATGGAGAAAAAAAATAAAAGAGGGTTATTGATTTGGAAAAATGTCTCACTTCATTTAATAATGGTTGGAGGGACGTTATGGGGGGGAAGCCATTGTAATCCATATTCTGTACTTTGGAAATTTATATTCATTAAATAAAAGTTAAAAAAAAATAATGTCAGTATCTAAACAAATCCCATCCCCAATCTCTCCTGAAGGCTTCTCCTTGAACTCACCTGGAGTTTCTCTGTTTGTTACTATGTTCACATAGGTAAGGAACCTGTTCTTTGTTGAGGGTATATAAAAGTAAACCTAGATTCTACTTCTGAAATGCAGATGAAACACATACATTATATGTATGGAAATGTTATGTATCAAAAGTAAGAAGGTTCTATCCCATACTTAAGACTTTTGGAAGTCTGCTTTTTTCCTTTATCTATGATTTTACCTTTTATCTGTGTTTCCCATTATTAGCAGTTATAACTTCAAAGGACCATTTGTCTTTATCTGAGATATGTGGGCAAAGGTAGTTTCACCAAGTAAGGAGAATCAAGACAGTAGTTGGAAGCATTCTACATTCTGATCTACTACTTTGTGTTATCATGATCTGCTCTGGTATCTTGAAATCCTATCAATTTCCATTACTTTGTTTCTTTATTCACTTCTTCCTCTTGCATTCTAAACACAAATGTTTACCAAGGGTATTTACTTCACCACCTCCACTTGCAAAACAAAGTTTACCAGAAGGGTTTGTCTAATCTTGTAACTTGAACCATCCTCTCTACTTCGCTGATTTCTTGCCTATTTACTTGTACAAGTCTTCTGGTTATTTCATTGTTGATACCATAAGTGCACTCCAAAATTTAATATCAATGTCTCAATGTATTTTTTTCTCAAGTTGAAAACAACCTATCATATATGATTCTCCATCACTCATCTAAAGTCCACAGTAATTATCAAGTTTCAAACCACAGACTTGTACTTCTTCACTCCAGCTCATTCTACAGAAACCTATCATTGGAACCATAGTTCTTTATTTGAAAATTCCACTGAGGATAATAGGCCTTCTATTATCTGTATAATCAGGTTATGACTTTTCTACTGTATTATCACTATTCCTCACCCAACTGTTACTCTCAAAACATAACACAATGTCTATACTGCCTCTGTGTCTCCAAGTATCCAGCACAATGTCTGATGCTAGTAAAACAGAGGAAAAATATAAATGTAAATTGGTAGTAAGAGATAGGAGCTGATCCACCAGGTCTTCAGAATTCACAACACTCATGGGGAATCATTTTAGGTCTTCACTCTCCAGATCTCAGTTCCTTTTTAAACTACTCTATCTCAAGAATAACTGAGAGCAATGGCTCTCAATTAGGCATTGCACCACAATCTACAGGGTGTTTCAAAAATCTATCAGGAGGCTTCTGGGTATCTGAGTAACTGAGTAATGGTTCAGAATTGTGTGGACAAGGGCAATGAATGCAGATGTTTTGAAATAAAACCCTGCTTATGACTGTCAAGTCTAGAGCTTAACTTGTTCTGTATCACTCTTCACAGTTTTAAAATACAGTACAATTTTTTACAGGAATGCAAGCACCTCAAACATATAATGTATTTTGTTTTTTTTTTTTTAGTTATTTATTACTTTGAAAACAATCCTATCACAGAAAGCAATGTGCCTCATTATTCAAGTCACTAATATAACCTGCTTATAGCAGTCTCATTTGTGGTTTTCTCTTTCTAGATTAATATATCCTATCTCAAAACATATTTTTCATGCTAATGGTAAAGCCTGCTACAATGAAAACAACCAAGCAGTAAATTTGTCACAGTCTCAATGTGTCCATATATAAGTGGTATGTGCTGAGTTATCTTGGAGTTGTTGACAGAATCATACATTTATGAAGTATCATAAAATGCCAAGTCTTATGTATTTTACAATGGAAAAAAAAACACAACAAATATTTCTGACTAGAAATGAAACTGAAAAAAAGTCTTAAAAATCTCTGGTATATTTATCAAATATCATGTAGTAATTAACAGCATATAGGATTAGTAATACCTAGACACGTAATAAATCAAATACTATCTGTGCTTGCCAATATAGTATTTATACACGTGCTGACACACTGGATTTAAATAACTTATAACCAAAAGTCTAAGATTATTAAAAAGAATATGACCTTTTTACTTTTTTAAAGGATCTCATAAAAAATTAAAATATTACTTTTGCTTGTATTATATTTCTGATGAACATGCAGTTCTAAGTAATAAGAAAACAGATAACATTACTGATCTTAAGCTAGTAGGACAATAAAAAATGCATACTAACTTCATCAGTGAGTTCTCCAAACACTGTTATGACATCTATTAAAAGACTTGCAGTATAGAAGGACTTGATCATGTTTCTGGAAGACAAACAGCAGGTTTTATTTAAATGAAAAACAAATGTAGTATTATTCATGCAGCTATTTAAAAAAACAATGTTCATAAATGTACTCTGAAAACAACATCTTAAATGAAATCAGATTTCAAAAATATACAAGAGATCTTTTTCTAATCTGTTATCAGGAGAAAGTAACATGACTCACATTATAAGTATATATTTACAGCAAAGATTAATTGTATGCTTTGGATTTTAGAAAATGTAATTATAGTGAATCCATATCAAACCTTAACACATTATCTGCAAATAAATATTATCATAATAATGACTGGGCTGTAATTTTGGCTAAAATCAACACATATTTTACTGATTGTTAAAAAAAAGACTAATTAGGATATATTTCCTGATAATATGGATATTTTAGCCATTTTATTCATCTTATTTTCAAAATTTTTATTTATTTATTTATTTGCTTATTTGAGAAGCAGAACAAGAGACAGAGATTGCATGGTTACATCAACTAGTTCACTCCCCAAATGCCTGCAAGCTGGGAGCCAGGAAGCCAAATACTTCAGTCATCACTGCTGCCTCCTACAGTATACATTAGCAGGAAATGTGGAGGCAAAGTCAGAACTTGAATCCAGGTACTCCAATGTAAGACCCACACATCCTGATAACTTAATGCTAAGCTAAACACCTGACTCTCAGTTATTTTCTCTAAATTCAAAGGCCTGCATTTATAAGCATAAACGATTCTAAGGTGCCATGGTGAAGACAAAAAAAAAAAAAAAGGTATGTGTGCGTGGGAGGGGCTTCAGGCATTTAGTGTACTGGTTAGAGGCTAGCTGGGAGACCAGGATTGTGTTGCTGGCTCCTGGCTTAATCTTAGACCAATCCTAAACTCTGTAGGGACTGAATTGGTGGCTGGGAACTATCCCTTTCTGTCTTTCTGCCAAATGGAAGGGAGGAAGGGAGGAAGGAAAGGAGAGAAGGAGAGAGGGAGGGAGGGAGGGATTGAGGGAGGGAAGGAGAAGGAAAGGAGGGGGGGAGGGAGGGAGGGGGGGAGGGAGGAAGGAAAGAATCAATCTACATCACTCAAGAAAGACAGTTGTTCCATAAAAAAACTAGATAATTCTGTTCAGTATGCAACCTCTCAAGTTTTCTTTTTTTACTTACTTGTGAAATCGCCCAGCACGATCTTCATTGTCTGCATATAAAAACATTTTCAAAGCATAATTCTCCAAATGGGCAGAGCCAACTATTTCTTGAGTAATAGCTTCATTATCACCCAACTGTTTCTTAAGCTAAAATAAAATCAGATACATAGTTTATAATTTAGGAACCTGACAAGTGTGTTTTCAAGTACAAATAAGCCTAAAATGTACTATCAGATTACCTAAAATTGGAATTAGTCTTTTCTAAACATATATAATTTAAAATTTTAATTTCATTTTTATCAGATATTTAAAAAAAATAAAAGCATTGTGTTATGTCCTAAATAGTACCACTCAAAACAAAGCAAAGATTCAATAGTAAGTAATGCATAAGATGATAAACTCAGAATTGGATAATGGAAATTTTTAAAATGCAGACACATACCTCAAATCAATACATAACTTTTAAATGTATAAGTCTGCCTATCTCTTTCCTACCCATACAGTATAATAAAGTATCTTTAAAAACAACAAAGTTCTACCTTTTTATTCAGACTATCATATTGGAATAAAATGACTTTCTGGAATACCAGATCTCAGTAGCAAACTATTATTTAAAAATTACTTTTTTAAAGATGTTATGAAGTAAAAATTTAAACAGAAAAGGGTCTCAGAATTTGTCACAGAATCAGCAAATACTCTCATAAATGTAAAGACATAATTTAAGTCCAGAAGAGATTTAATGTTGGAATTTATTTAAGTTCCTTTATAAATGTGCTTTTACACTTTATTATTATAAAAAACAGCTTGGCTTCTTTATATCCAAAGCTATTATCTTAGTTATTATTATTATATTGTGAAATTAATAAAGAGATATTCCACATGTTTGTTAGTTGGAATTTGACAAATATATTTCCATGAGTGAAAAAAATTTTCCTTCCTGCCCCAACCTCATCCCTCCAAAAGAGAATATTTAAATTTTCATGTTTCCATAGAAGTAGCAATAGAAGTAGGCCAGAAAGGCTCCACTGGCAGCTGAATTCCCTCTGTGGCACCTGAAATCTAACTGCAGCAGATGACAGTTACTCTGAGTCAGTAGGCCAGAGAATCACATAAAGTTACAGAGAACACTTCTGTCCATAGTTACTTAAACACAATGAGGCAAGAAAGTTCTACATTGGAATATGCTTTCATCTGAATAATACTCTCCCAACAATAATAAAAAACAAATACAAAACCCTAGAATGATGAGTCTAAATGTTTTGACTTGATTTTTAGTATGTCTAAATTTTGTTTCTGTCAACAAAAGAAAGCAATTACGGGGTGGGAACTTGGCACCATGGTTAAGATGCTGCCAGGGACATTTATATCCCATATTGTAGAGCCTGGATTTTTGAGTTGGCGCCACTCTCTACTGAGATTATTGCTCATATGCACCCTGGTAGGCAGCCAGTGATGGCTCAAGTACTTGGGTTCCTGTCATCCATGTAGGAGACCCAGACTGAGTTCCTGGATCCTGGTTTCAGCCTGGCCCGATTACTGAGTGAGATCTATTTCTTCATGCACTGACTCCCAATACAACTCATTCAATTTTCCATCCATACGCACCACCCACAGTGATCTGTGACATTACATCAGGCTCAAGAAGGTGACTCTTTAGTCACCTACCTCATTCCTGCTAAGAGGGGAGGATACTTGTACCTCACCCTGGACTGAAAGAGGGAGGATAAGCATAAGCAATCAATAACATTTCTTTCATAGTCTCTTTCACTAATAAATGGCTCATTTCACTAAATAAATGGATAATTTCAATATGTAAGGGGCTGGTGCTGTGGCCTAGTAGTTAAACCTGTCTACAGTGCTGGCATCCCACATGGGCACTGATTCAAATTCCGGCTGCTCCACTTCCGATCCAGCTCTCTGCTAATGTGCCTGGGAAAGCAGTGGAAGATGGCCCTGGCACCCACGCGGAAGACCCAGAAGCTTTTGGCTCTTGGCTTCATATTGGCCCAATTCTGGCCATTATTGCCATTTAGGGAGTGATTCAGAGAATGGAAAACCTCTTTTGTGTCTCCCCCTCTCTCTGTCTATAACTCTGCTTCCCAAATCAAAATACATCTTTAAAACAAAAAAAGAGCTATTTAAGAACTCCCAAATCAATCCACAGGACTGCATGAAGGGAGGCTTGAAAGCTTGTTATTTATGAAAGGATATCAAAAGCTATGTACAACAATGTGGAACAAGATACTTATATCTGCAAAGATGGCTGAATCTACTTTAACTTTTACTTACAACTCCCCTGACAGTATGGTGTAAATAAAAAAATTGTATCTAACTTTCCCTCAGGTACAGTGTTATTGACTGTTGCCAAGAGAAACAAACTAAAATGAAAACATATACATGAAAATTAAATAAAATGGTATTTTGAGCATAGCCAGAAAATAAATGATCAGGGTTTAACTTACAGCTTCTAACTGATCCATTAATTTTGATAAAAATTTACGACATTCAGGAGTTTTACTATCAATCTTCATTCCAGTTTGCATGGCATATAACCGACCTATAAAGAAAAGAAAGATAAGGTGATTTAAACAATTTTTCTTTAAAACATTCTTTTCTATGGCTGAAAGCTTAAAAATATATGTTTTGCCTAGTGAATAATTTAAAACATAAATTTAAAAATAAAACTTTGACAATTTTACTTATAAAGAACACAAACATTATATAAAGAATGATAAAAATAGAAAATAGCAACAACATTTTATCAAGTAATACCTTTCTTTTTGTAGTATATTAAAAAAAAATACAAGAATGACTAGGTAGGTCCTAAACTGTCAAAAGTACCTATAATTTAATTGGAGAATCAGGGCACTCAGAACAGTCAAATGTACAAGAACACTTGCCAAGTATTAGATAAGTGATACTGACAAAATAGACAATGTGGGCTATGGTAGCAAAAAATGAGACTTGAATTAAGGTTTATAGCAAGAATTCACTTTTTTATTTTTATTTATTTTTTATTTTTTATTTTTTTTTTTTACTTTTTGACAGGCAGAGTGGACAGTGAGAGAGAGACAGACAGAGAGAAAGGTCTTCCTTTTGCCGTTGGTTCACCCTCCAATGGCCGCCATGGCTGGCGCGCTGCAGCCGGCGCATCGCGCTGATCGGAAGCCAGGAGCCAGGTGCTTTTCCTGGTCTCCCATGGGGTGCAGGGCCCAAGGACTTGGGCCATCCTCCACTGCACTCCCAGGCCATAGCAGAGCTGGCCTGGAAGAGGGGCAACCGGGACAGAATCCGGCGCCCCAACCGGGACTAGAACCTGGTGTGCCGGCGCGGCAAGGCAGAGGATTAGCCTAGTGAGCCAGGGCGCCGGCCGCAAGAATTCACTTTTATGATATACTCCATTTTTAACAAATTTTATGCATATGGTCTTTTTAAATATACATGCATAACTTCTCTTTAAAAAAACTAATGGGGTAGATGATTAGCCTGTAGTTAGGAGGCTCACAAATCACATAGGAGTGCCCGTGTTCAATTCATAGCTCCAGCTTCTGACTCTGCCTTCCTGCCAGTACTGATCTTGGGAGGCAGAGGTGAATGAATGCTCAGTTGGGCTCATCCAGCCCAGATTCAGTAGCTGCAGTCTAACCAGAAGATGCGAGCTCTTTCTCTGCATCTCAAGAATTTTTGAAACTTAAAAAATAAAAGTAAAAACATCTGAGGTAAAGCAAAGGCTGAAGACATCTACTACTAACACCACAATCCTAATTACTCTCCTAGTGAGAGCTGGGAACTTTTACGTAGTAATTGGTGTTACCAATGGCATGTACATTACATTATAAATTATATCGTAGCCTTTTTCATTTTGAGAGATGATCTTAAAACTGTCCTCAAAATGTAAACAGGCACTTTTCAAGAGAGGAAACTCAAATGGTTAGCAGACACATGAAAAAGTGCTCAGGATCACTAGCCATCAGGGAAATGTCAATCAAAACTACAATAAGGTTTCACCTCACCCCAGTTAGAATGGCTCTCAAACAGAAATCAATAAACAATAAATGTTAGCAAGGATGTGGGGAAAAAGGTACCCTAATCCACTGCTGATGGGAATGTACACTGGTACAGCCATCGTGGAAGATAATATGGGGATACCTCAGAAATCTGAATATAAACCTACCATATGAACCACTCATCCCACTCCTGAGAATTTACCCAAAACAAAAGAAATCAGCATAGGAAAAGAGTGATTTGCACCCTCATGTTTATTGCAGCTTAATTCATAATAGCTAGGATAGAGAATCAACCCAGATGTCCATCAACTGAAGACTGGATAAAGAAATTACAGTACATATACACTATGAAATACTAAACAGTGGTAAAAAAAAAAAAAAAAGAAATCCATCATTTGCAACAAAATGGATGCAACTGAAAACCAGTATACTTAGTGAAATAAGCCAGTCCTCAAAAGACAAATACCATGTTTTCTCTGATCTGTGGTAACAGAGTACCTATACCTAAAAGGTAATCTATAGGAGGGAAATTGACACTTTGAGATATGATGATCTTTAACAACCCTTGTCTCAACTTCTGAGGAATAGTTTTTGTTTTCTTTCATACTTTTTTTTTAACTCTTTACTTAGTGTAGGGTTTACTTTATGAGTGTAAAGTTAACAAAATAGACCTTTGTAAAATATAAGAATGGAAATAGGAGAGGGAGGAGGAAGAAGGGTGGGAAAGTGGGTGAGAGGGAGGTTCCTGTGGAAAGTATCACTGTTTTTGAATCTGAATATATATGAAATACATGAAATTTGTATACCTTAAATAAAATAAAAAAAAAAAACCACTGTCCTCCAAAACAAAGTAGTAACATGCAGTTATACCTGCAACATTATGTAAACATCTATTTTCCCCAAACTAAAAAAATTGATATTAAACTCAAATTTCTGTGAATCTGAGGACTGAAAGCAGTATCTCCCTGTTGGACTCTTCCTGTCAATTTGAAGACTCATTGGTTTCTGTTTTGTCTCAACTACTAAAAAGGTATTAAGTATTTGCTGGGTAGCTCTATATTTTCCATTCTGAACTAGGTGTAGCCATCCATAAATAAGAAAAAGCATCTGCCAAATCAGCTTTTTTTTTTTTTTAACAAATTGATTTATAACAATTCTTTATGTAGTCATAAATAGAAATGTAACATCCTAGCCCCCAATGCAGTCTTGTCAACCTACCCTCCCTTCTTGCTTTACTTTTCTCTCTAGCACATAATCAACTACTATTTATGCATTCTTTGTCTCAATGCCAACTAGTACTGAAACTCCAAGATGATAGGGATTTTTGTCTATCTGGTTTGCTGATGTGTCCCTGGCATCTAAGAGAGTGCTCAATAAACATTTTTCTGAATAGATAAATACATGAATGAAAGAATAGCTCATTCTGCCCACTGATTTAAATGTCACTTTTCTCATTCATTATAATATATTAAATTTTCTTGGGATAACAGGGTCCAGTTCTGTGTATTTTCTATCCTGTTAGGCTATTGCCCTATCACTGTTTTCTATACTAGAGGTTCACAACAGGGTTTAGTATCTGTTAATTACTCTTATGATTTCAAATTCAATTCTGTTTGCCTGATAAAATCTTTAAAAAATGTATTTAATACACCTTTATACAGTATCTGCATCACTGTGTTTTTAATTTTGATGGTTTTATTGAAGGAATTCCCTTTTTTTATTTTTTATTTTTGACAGGTAGAGTTATAGACAGTGACAGAGAGAGACAGAGAGAAAGGTCTTCCATTGATTGACTCCCCAAATGGCTGCTACGGCTGGCGCTGTGCTGATCCAACGCTAGGAGCCAGGTGCTTCTTCCTGGTCTCCCATGCGGGTGCAGGAGCCCAAGCACTTGGGCCATCCTCCACTGCCCTCCTGGGCCACAGCAGGGAGCTGGACTGGAAGAAGGGCAACTGAGACTAGAACTCAGAGCCCATATGGGATGCTGGCGCTGCAGGCAGAGGATTAACCAAGTGAGCCAAGGCGCTGGCCCTGAAGGAACTGCCTTTTAATCATGAGGCTTTATGGCTACCTCATGTTATAGAATTTGAAATTTAATTTCTTAATATATTTATTTTCTCACCTCAAATTTAAGGATTTGATGCATTTAGTTACTATTAACAGGAGAAAACAATGGCATTTCACAAGTGTCCAGATTTACACTGCCACACTACGCAGCATGAGAACACTTTCACACAGACACTAATCTGAGAAGCCAAAAAAAAAGAACTTCACTTAAACAGCCCCTGCTTTCACCACAAATGTTACGGAATTTTTTGTCTTCTTTCTTCTTCTATTAACCAGCCATACTTCAGTATGAAGTTGTCCTAGTCCTTTTCCCACCTGCTTATGCCAGGTTTTAATCAGTCACTCCTGTTCCCCTCAAAATAAGGCTTGGGGGCCGGCACTGTGGCATAGCAGGTTAAAGCCATGCCCTGCAGCGACGGCATCCCCTATGGACACTGGTTCGAGTCCCAGCTGATTCACTTCTGAACCAGCTTATCTGCTAGTGAAACCCGGAGGAAGAAGCACCTGGCTTCAGACAGGCCCAGTCCTGGCTGTTGTGGCCATTTGGGAAGTGAACCAGCAAGTGGAAGAAACTCTCTCTCCTCCTCTCTGTAACTCTGCCCTTCAAATAAATAAATAAATCTTAATCTCTATTTATATTTCCCAAATAACTGATTTGGCTGAGGTCACAGAAAGCATGATTTGATGACTGGAATTCTACTATCCATTTGGACCTTAAGGAAACCTTGGAAATGCCAATCCTGTGCTGCTTAGTAGCTCTGTTAGCTGGAATGGGCTTAGGTCCCACATAACTTCATGGAGTTGGCACACTATCACTAGGTACTGTCAACACCACATTCTTTTACACAAGGAAGTAAATCCTTATTTCCTTAGCCATTGTTATTTTATACTTTCCACAATAAGCAAGAAACTTCAGACTAATAATGCAAAAACAGCATCATGTTGTTAATTCTTATCAATCATTTCACCTCTAAATAATTTCATATACTTTCACTCACACACTTGCCATTCCACAATTAAATTCCCATCTCAAACTTCTGTACTACAAAGCAACCATTCTGAATGCTAACTCTTTTTCTTCTAACATTCAGCTATGCACATAAATACAAGCTTCCTGTTCACTGGCCTACACATTTTTTTAATCTTAGTTTATACACATATTCAGTCTTTGCCACTACAATGACATTATAACATAACATCTATAATTGAAGAAATTGAAGAATGGGATTATCTCTGCATTAGAAAGCATGAGGACATAAACTAGCATGGCTTTGCTGAGTTTCTTATGTGGCTTATAATTTGTAGCACAAAAAGTATATAACAAGATACATTCTCTAATGCTAAAAAAAGTGAAAAGACCTCAAAATCCACCTATGAAAATTAGTCTTTTTCTCATAAGGATGAAATTTTCCCATAAGGATGAAAAAAAATCACTTTTATGTAGAATTCTGTTCAAGACAATTTATCCTAGTGGCAGCAATGT